CGCACAGAAAGCCACCGCTTGTCCTAGGCAGGGTGGACCCTGTCGCTTTCAGCAGCCCCCAGGACCCTGGCACTGAGACACCTGGGCGCAGCGCTATAAACGCCATAAAACTAGGACGGCTCTTGCGGGTGAGCAGTCAAGGCCACACCCCCCGGCTAGTATGTGTGGGGGGTGAGATGGCCAGGCATCTGAGGGCTGAGCTGCGGGGCCTGGCAGATCCTGGCTGGGCCCCAGGTCTAGTCTGTGTGGATCTAGTACCTGCAGCAGTCACAGCCCCGTCAGCCCTCCGAGCAGAGGGCGTGCTGATGGGCGGGACCCAAGCCCCTGTGCTGGGAGGACCTCAGGGGGCTCCTCCCACTCCCACCCGAGCACACCTGCCCTGCTCTGGAACCACAGTGGCCACACTGCGCTCCCCAGGCGCAAGGCCTTTAGCCTATTGATCCAGGTAACTCATTCTAAAATGGCTGTGAGCTGTGGACAAGCATAGAAAACAGCCTGCAAATGGCAGCGCCCGCCCCCCTTCCTGGACTTCAGATTCCTGCGCTCAGTCCCTCTGCCCTCTCTCCCTCCTGCCCGGACAACGAGGTGACAAAACACACAGCACTTGGCGTGACTATGAAACAGCCACCTCGCACCCAGCGTCTCCACTGTGAGCTGTCACTGTAGACAACAGCATCCGCTGGACAGGGGGCCGCCCTCAGCAGGGGTTAGGGTTTAGCATCTGGATACGTGTGGCTACATACACCTTCCGGACTGCAGGCTGATTCAGTGATAGAAGAAAGCACGGAGATGTATTGATGGTCCTATGGCTGCGCATTACGTTGTTTCTTTTTCTCATCACACTTGTGCATGAAGTCCTCGTGCACAGGTGGGCACAGGGGGGACTCAGGTGGGCACAGGGGCACAGGGGACACAGGTGGGCACACAGGGGGGCACAGGGGGGACACAGGTGGGCACAGGGGCACAGGGGGACACAGGTGGCACAGGGGGGCACAGGGGGCACAGGGGGGGACACAGGGGGACACAGGTGGGCACAGGGGGACACAGGGGGGCACAGGGGGGACACAGGTGGGCACAGGGGGCACAGGGGGGCCACAGGGGGGACACAGGTGGGCACAAGGGGAACACAGGTGCCACAGGGGGGATACCAGGGGCACCGGGGGCACAGGGGGGGCACCAGGGGGACACAGGTGGGGCACTGGGGCAACAGGGGAACCAGTGTGGGCACCACAGGGGGGACCAGGGGGGGACACAGGTGGGCACAGGGGGGGA